CCCCCCTGGATCCGCCCTTGACGCAGCCACGCGCCGAACATGTCGCTTTCCCATAGACTGCTACGGGTGCGAGTGAGAGATCCGATCGCAGCTGCGTCTTGAATTGGCAACAAGATTTTGCGCGATTCATTCGAAACACTGTAGAGGCGTGCGAGTGCGCGCCCGCACTTCTGAATATGTTCAGTGTGCGTGCTGGCGAAACGTCAGGTGCAAATTGCGCCCAATAAGAAAATCAGCCTTTTCGGACGTTGGCGAGCCCCACCGGTGTGTGTGTCTGTGTGAAAAACACCCATTTTATTTTATGTAAAGTTCTTTTGTATAGTAGAGCTGTTCAGACATTCTAATTGGTCATTGTATTCAATCGTGCCATAACTTAACGGGTCCATTCAAGGAATTCTAATGGGCCAATAAGCAGCGCTCTTATGTAACCGAAACTGAATCATTCAGTGTGAATCGTTCGGAGGAGCGTTTCTGGTTGTTTGCTCGGCCCCTAGACAAGTGAATACTGTTAGGTTTTTTCGTTTTATGCAAAACGTCGGATTGGCCACGTCCTGGACCCAATCCGCATTCTTCGCCCACTCAGACTCCCGTCTCGAATATTAAATGTCGACCCGTGTTTTTCGGTTATTCTAGAATCTAAATGGCCGTTTCGGCTCAACGGGCGTATGCCCGAAATTATTCATTAGCTTCGCGATGGACATTCACAATGACAATGCGCCCAAAGGCGATTTATTGGCACTAGGCAATAAAGTAGCCCAATTTAAGCCCGTCTCCCATGCATCCGTTTGTACGATGATACGATGGTACGAAAGTGTTTCTATTGGTTGGAGATCTGTCAATTCGTCCGCCGTCTTACGAACGGAGGCCGAACTGACAGATCTCCAACCAATAGAAACACTTTCGTACCATCGTATCATCGTACAAACGGATGCATGGGAGACGGGATTTACTGTCTGAGCGCTCTTCCTGTATTTTTGTGTATGAGTGAGTTGGCGCTCGGGGCGACATCTTTGCGACAAATTTGGAGCTGGGCGGATGCGCCTTCGCCACAAACAAAACGCCAGAAGTCAAAGGAAACATAATTATATTCTTCAAAATCTTAATCCTGCTATGTACACGCCCCCCGCTAGGGAGCAGGTCTAAATGAAGTCCGAGATGAAAACCTTTTTGAAATCCTGCAGATTCACATTGTTATTGTTCTTCACGTCCTCCACGCACACACTGTTGCCCGGCAGATACTCCACCGACTTGATTTTCTTTTGCGACAGCTTCGAGTCGTTGCGACTGAGCCCCCGATTTGATTTGCCCCTGTTCTTCTTCCGGTCCTCCAGCGTGGTGTAGGAGTTGGATCGGTGCAAAACCACCACGCGGCTGATGTGCTGATTTTCGTCCTGCTCTGGTGGGGCCTGCAGGCCCGACTCCTCTATGTAGGTCTGGAAGCTTTCCAGCGATCTCCTGGAGGAGGATCTGGTGATTTTCGTGTGGGAGACATGCTTGGGCTTTTCCGCTTCTTTGGGCTTCGTTGCTTGGAAAAATTCAAAGTCGCAGTTGGCCTCAGTGGTGATTGAGTTGCTCGAGCTCATCGAGTCGTACTCTTTGGGGAAATAGTACTCCTCGTCGTCAGAGGAGTACTGGGCGGAGCCCTGGTAGGCAGGCTTTGGCTGGCTGGGGACCATCGGGGCTTCCACCTGGATGTCCGTCAACGAGTCCTCGCTCCGACTGAGCCTCATCTTGTTCAACCTGCAAGATGACCTTGCCTTAGCTTTGCCCCCTTTGCCCCCTGCGACGTACCGCAACAGGTTCCGAGAGTTTCTGATCATGTGCTGGTTCAAGTCGGCGTTGAGGTTGAAGCTGGGCTTCGACACGTTCATCTCCGACTTATGGTAGAAGATGCTGCCGCCAATCCTCGACTCGTACAGACGGTTGATGCTCTCCTGGCTCTGGCTGAGCCGCTTCTGCGTCACCGGGTTCTTCTGCCTGTTGGTCTCGATGCGGATCTGGTTGCGTTGCAACGAGTTCTGAGTGTTTTGCAACCTGGGATAAGGCAAGGGGTTAGTTAGTAGCAAGTTTAACTCGCCTACTCCAGTCTACCGTCTGTTGCCCATGAAAAGGCCGGCTTGTTGAGTGGGCATCTCCAGGCCAGCGTCCGGCCTGCGTTCGCCATTAGAGGCGAAAACGTTGTTCTGAGCGGCGTCCAGAAAGCTCAGCTTGCGGTGGACGTACTGGGGCGTCATCAAATGGTGCAGATCAGAGTGGCTGGGGCACTGATCCGCCTGGCAATTGGGGCAGCTGGAGTACTGGTGAGGCGCAGCCCCATCCAGGTCCCGCCTCTTGAGGTGGGAGGAGTGCAAGGCCACATTGGAGCTCAGCAGGTCTTGCTGCTGCTGCCGCAGTGTGCCTTGAAGCGCGACATTCACCATTGGCGCATTCGCTTTATGTGGTTCATACCTGTTCGGAACTCTTTGTGCCTGCGGTAGTTGTGGATGACCGGAAGGCGCCCATCGATGCTGGTGTAGAGGGAGCCGTTGGTGATCGGGAACCGATGCTCGACTTGTTGAAGGGTTTTTGCGCGCTCTGGATGCAGGTCCAGGCTCGGCGGCTGGCTGGCCAGCCCAAAGGGGCGGAACTTTCCATCCAAGCCCACTGAAATTGCTGGATGTTTGGTCTTCTGCCACACAACAATTGCTGGGTTTTACCTTGCGGCAGCTTTTCCTCAGTGTGCTTGGCAGAGCAACGGTAGACGTTGCTGACCCAGCGGCAAAACCGCGAGTCCACGATGCCCAGCCCAATGGGGATGAGCAGATCTTGCACCAA